GGTGCCGGAAATCGTCTCTTCTTCTTCCTCTTACGGGAATGATGTAAGGAATGCAATAAAGTTTATTCCCGTTTCCCAAAGAATCTCTTCTATCAAACCTTCGAAATTTACTTGAAACTGGCAGGCGTTGGTTGTGAACGACATGACGAAACTTCCGGTTAACTACGGGAGGTTTTCAACACATTTGGACATGCCTTCCGTCCCATCTGGTTAGTCTTTTAGGGATACTTCACATAATCGTTCATGTGTCGCACTAGGTCGCTACTGCCAACTGCTCCGCAACGTCCTCTTTGATTGCGTGCATGGAAAATCACCTCTTTATACGGTTTATCAAATGTCTTCTAGTGTGGAACTACTCTTTGAGAGTCCGCAATTTATGCTTAGATTTTCAAATATGATTAAAGTCTATTTGTGTTTGTTATTTATATATTAGGTTTGCGTCCTTTGATTTCGGTGTTAAACTGCGAGCTTGGACTCAACATCCTTACTGATACAGGCCTTTACAATGTAAATAGTCTGTTTATACTGAATGTAGTAATCTGCGCAAAGTCGCGTCACTGACTTATACACAGCCCACGTTTTAGCTTTTAGTGTTCGGCACTCATAATAATTCAATCTACCGATTTCACCATCCCAAGCGAGGTACTGGCATTTCTGCGGTTTATAGGCCTGAGTTCAAATCATCGCCGAAAGCTGCAGAAATAGGGCTCCTAAAATATTGTGTAGCCAGTGCATTTTTTGGAAAATTTTCTGCCAACCTGGGATCTTGCTGACTAAATTGGGCGCGCGTTATGTAAACGCCCAGAAGATCCTCCAATGTTCATCACAATCGTTCACCAAAAAATAAAAAGTTTCGTTGGCGGAAAATGTTGTCTTTTTGTCCAAAGAAGATGCCGTTTTAACTCGTATTCACTCTGGTTAAGAAAAACTCGCCAGGCGGTACGAGAAATTGTAACTATTTTATAACTTGCGTTTTGAGAATTTTTTCCCTGCAGAGGAAATATGTCCAATAGTTTTTAAAATGAACTACTTATTATACAACAGACAAAAGTAACAGGTTTTCGATACACGCAGGTCCGAATGGACAGTCTAATGAATAATCAGCTGTGAAAATTTCCTATTCGTCGAATGACAAAAGCTGAATTCAATTAAGTAACACTTACCGAAACTTTTATATTATTTGTCTCGGATATCTTGTGTATGTTGATAAGTGTTTGCGGTAAAATGGCCAGTTGCTAGGGTAGGTCATTTCAAAGTCTTCTCTGGCAATCGAGGTCTAATAAATAAATATCATACAACGTCATCTCGCCACAAGCGATATGCTAGCTATTTTTTACAAAAGCGTGAATCTAGTACTTTCATGTCGATATGTGCCCTTTTAACGAAAATTAGTTTTATTAAATAACGAGCCATTTTGTATGCGACCGTTAATCTTCAAGCTTTATTTTTGTACAACATGGCAGACAGCTCCATGGTCTCCTTTTAAGTAGCATGTGAAGTCACCAGTCCCCAAATAAATATTTTTCATCACAAATTATGATAACCAAATACATATATTTTTTCAGGTACAAATAATATGCTTGACGATTTCGAACTGATAGGTGTTCAACGTGAAGGTCAAATGCCGACTTTCTAAACTTCATGCGCACTCTTCCTAGGCGAAAGTGGCAAAGGCTTTTAACTGATAAATGTGTCTACCCGGACGTATCAGTTCTACGCTAACATGGATTTCTTAAAGAAACTTTCCGAGGGCTTCTTGGACGAACGAATGTTTCGATGTAGTTGGTCGATTTTGCATGCAGATGGAGACAGAGCATACATTTCCTGTGGCTTGTTAGAAAACGTAGTTGGCCCTAATTTGCAGCCCTACATTCAACACTAGTTTAGACAACGACGGACCCGCTGCCAGTTCGCATATATTCACTAAAAGGTTAACTGCGCTCTATAGCCTAATTGCTACGCTCGTCTTCGTAAGCGGTATGATTACCAATCACGCCGTAATTTTCGTAATCTCTAAGAATGCCTCCCCTCAGACCACCACTAACATTCATCTCGAGAAGTAGAAAACGACTCGACCGTTGGGACAATATGGTTATTCGCCTGACGTTCAGAAATCCGTTGCGGATTCATCTTCAGAGACATACTCACAGAGCAGTAGCAGAAACAGTTTGTGTGTGCACGGGGTCGCCGTAAAATTTAAACGTACAGAAAAAATCGATAAATGCCCTGAATGTGTTTTGATTCGTTGGGTAAGCCATGACCACCTGGCCTTGCGGTGTTGGCATAAGATGATGTAGTCGTCCGTCTGTTCTCCGATACGCGATTTGCTTTGGCCGAATTCAGTCTCAGCACCGAATATGGATTGACAAATCGTTGCACTTGTTGATGGATTTGGGGCCCGTGAACCATGACTCAAGTTATTCTCGGCTCACTTTATTGTCACCTCTTGCTAGAATTTCGGCCTCATCAACTTTGAATGTGTGGCTGGGTTTCGCCGAATGAGCCGCAACTTGGAAATTGGCATCATTTCTTCGCACTGCTGCCGCGTGTTCGGCAATTCGCTTCTTGAGAAGCCTGCCAGTTTCTCCGACAAAGTTGCTTTGTCCGCAAC